GATAAATAACTCCTCCCTGTCGCACCCCGGTCGAAAAGGGTGGGCCGGTTGTTCTGCCTGAGACTTCCTCACCATTTATGACCCTGAAGCTAAAACATGATAGCAGTTTCACAGATGGAGTGTGGGCCGTTTGCTTACTGTGGCTCTCGCCTCAGTGCCGTGCACATTCGTTTGAACAATGTGTAAGATCTCTACGGATTGGGGGGCGGGTCGTTTCAAAATATGGTTCTCGCCTCAGCGCCGCGCACATTCTGTTTTACACAGTTACAAGAGCTACGTACACGGATTGAGGGCGGTTAGTTTTCAAAATGTGGTTCACGCTTTAGCGCCGTGGACGTTCACGGGTTGAGGGCGGCTGTTTTTGAAAATGTGGTTCTCGCCTTACCGTCCCGCACATCATCTGAAAGAAATCCGAAGAAATTCGTGGAGTCCCATGGTCAACGTACCAGAAATGTTGTTTACGAAAGTACGTTGTTTTGCGGTGTTGAAGTCCCAGGAGTGGCGTTCTGGCATTGTTCCGGGCCGCCACGACGCAACAGTCCAGTTGATCTGTGGCGTTGGACTTCCGAGAATGTTGTTTGGGCACGTTTCAGGGTCTTCAAACAGTTGTCTCCCAACGAGGCAGTTCCCTCAGTGGAAATGAACCCTTGCAGGGGCCTATGGATAGGGAGCTTGGCGGGAGGGTTTATTTCAACATCGTTGGTGAGTCTTGGGATTACATTGGTCGTCGTCCTCCTCCTCCTCTTCCTCCTCCTCCTCCTCCCCCATTTCCTTCTACACATTCACCTTGTGAATACAACTCTCCTTTCTCTCCTGACTCTGTCCGAAACATGCCTTGCCCTCTACACAGAGTTAGACAACAGTCGCTTTCGTATGGCTTGTTTGCAGTCTTCTACTTGTGGGTGTTCCCATTTTGCGCTCCCGTTGCAGAAGGAGGCTCATGTTTGGATCGGCGTTTTGTTTCCGTCGTTCAGAACAGCGCTCTCGCCCCAGCGTGGGCCACTTTAGTGGATACGAGTCCTTCCTCATCGTTGTCGCCCCCCTTCTTTCTTCTCCTCCGCCTTCCCTGGTCATCCTTCTCCTCCCGCTCCTTCTACTCAACTTCCCGCTTCTGAAAACTGGGCAATGGCCCAGCTCCATGGCTTCTCGTCCGCTGGTGAGGCTGCAGCTTGTGGGCCGCCCCTGCAGGTTTCGGAGGACGAACTTTCTCTTCCTGACGAGCCTGACGATGGTTAGACGGGTTTTGATGTGCGGAGAGGGGGGCTTGCCCCATCTAGTCATACATTCATACACCCTTCTTCTCCTGCTCATCCGTCTGCTCACTTTCCACCTCCTTCTCCTCCTCGTCGTCGCCCTCCTCTTTTTTCTCCTCCAAACCGCATGCTAGGCCCGAGGACCACTTTCCGCGATCTTGGCATATCGATGGTGGCGATCGTTGCTGGGTCTTTGCCTCGAGGCATGGCTCAGTGGTTGTTCTGAATTACATGGTGGCACGCGACAGGCACTGCCGAGCTCCCGAACGAGGGTTCATTAAGCATGTGCCTGACGAATGATATTAGATCTTGGTGCCCACCTGCCTGCATACAAATCTGCAGCATATTCGCCGTGATGTGTCTCTGCACGCCTCTCTGCAAGGTGTCAATGGATTTCGGTCGCACCCTATCTGGCAAGATGTTCTACATGCAGCAGACCTCCTTCATCCTGAAGCTGTCCAGACTCCGCTCCAGGTTAATTCGCGGGGTGGGTGGGCGATACATCGTCCCCCTATGTCGGCGGCTTCTGCTCCGAGGCCGTCGAGGGTGAGTCTTTTAGGTACGGCAGCCATTCTTTAGATGGATCGACTTCTTCCCCGCCTCTCCGCCAAGTTTCTGGTGGTGCTGCTCGTCTCAACGGTGATCTGCCGCCCCTGGGTGGTGGAGCTACGGCTGAGCGAGCTGATCCCTCCTCTGGCGCCTTCCAGTGCTCCCGATTACGAGGGGAACGAACAATGACACAAACATAATAACTCGGAGGTCCGCGCGGACTTCTCGGATCGGCGTTGGAGCCCCTTGGCGGCGCCTCCGGCGCCGCCCCCGGCGCGCTCCGCGCGCCAGAATCTCTTGCAATTTTCTATGTGTTGAATTCCTGTCTTGGTGCCGCTCGATTCGGTGTTTGCCGCCCCGTAGGACGATATCGCAGGTGCGGGTGGGCAGCAGGTGTCGGAGCCCGTCTCTGGCGTTGTGCCCTCAACCTTCGTTGGTGCCCCTTTCGGCAGGGACATCGACTATGAATCCGAGCTGCGGAGATTCGAGGGGCAAGCTGCTGGCGTGCAGCACTTTGCGGCGAACAACTTGCTGATGACGGCGCTCCGTATTATTCCTCTCGTATGCTTGATGCTGATCTTCGTGGCCTCGATGAGCGTTCTCTGCAATCTTATGATGGCGCTCCGCCTGGTGATATCATTCCTGCTCTTCAAGGTTCTGGTGGGGCTCACTGCGGTCCAAGGTTGAGTCTGCGCGGTGCTCGCGCAAACAATCTTGGGCGTGATGACGTTCCCCACAGCTCCTGTGCTGCTGGTGGCGACGTCGAATTCTTCGTCGTCTGAGCGTCCCTCCTTCCTCTCGGCCGTCCCCCTCCTTGCTTGTTCGCGCCCCATACCTAGCTGTTCGCTGGAGTGGATTTCGCCGCCTCGCCGGTGACGAAACAAAGTGCTGCTGGTGGCCCCCCCCGCGCAGTGGGCGATGGTGGTGGCCTTCTCGCTTGGGCTCCTCATTCTCCTCACTGCGACGATTGGACAGCTGAAGCTGGCGACCTACCTGCTGAAGTGCATCCCGCAGGGGCCAGTCGCCATCATCATCGTCGCGTTGATATGCAGATTGCCAGTTGTCGCATGGGCATCCTCATTTGTTTGGGCCCGTTGAAGGCGCGCGCCGCTCGACTGAGAGCCGCACCCCCTGAGCGAGAAGGACTCCTCAACGAGGCTTTCATCGTGTCGCTCGAGCAGCACGCGGATTGCATGTGCTGGAGGTGTTCCTCTAGTTTGCACCGCCGCCGCAGGTGGCGTCCCAGTGCTTCCTTCTGGTGCTGTGTGTGATCCGCAAGGTTGCCCCGCCGCCGCTGCAGGTGGCGTTTCGCCGCTGCAAGTCGGCGGTGACGAATCTGATCCTCAAGGTGAGCGTGCGGCTCTCCCTGGGTCTTGTCTATCAAACCGACTGGCACTCCAGCCGCAGGAATGCCCTGAACAAGATGTGTACCCCGTGAGAGCTATTGCACGAAGCACTCGGATGTGGCCCCGCGGGTTCGTACCACGTGAGCGTGCAACTTGTTCCCCATCCTGCCGTCGTGGCGACGCTTGTCGTTACACCCATTTCATTCTGGTCACGTGCGAAGCGATACATCTCGAGCGCTGGCGTTTGCAGTCGGTTATTCCTGATGCTGGGTGCTCGTTGGCTGTGAATGTTGCACAATGGCGCCTGCGTGCCGCCGGTCTGCTCGCTACTGACATTTTCTTCGGCGGTGAAAATATGTCCACGTCTACGTCGAGCGCAACGGACATGCCGGCTCCTTCGGCGTCAGCTGCGGGCACGTCGGCACCTGATGCTTGCGTCACATCGGGCCTTGCGTCGTTGGATCTTGCTGCGCCGTCAACATCATATAACAGCATCGGGATTTCCGTCGGCTCGTCTGCAAGCTGGCACTGTCCTCGACGAGACGCCACGCGGTGTGAGAAAGTGAATCAGGACAAGAAGGATAAAACTACAAAAAACAGGAAGGAGGAGAAGAAGGGGACCAGCAAAATAAGGAGGACAAGAAAGAGAAGGAGGAGAAGAAGGAAGAGAGAAGGACGAGGAGAGGGACAACAGGGTTAAGTCTCTTCCTCCTGCGGCTGGAGACTTTGATGTGCACCTTCGTGAACAGGTGGTGCCAGGGGCCCCTCTCCTTCGATGCTGTGAGTTCCTGCCGCTTCGGTGCTGCTGCAAGGCTCCTCTCCGCTCATGCCGACCCCCTGTGCACGACTGGTTCCCCGCCTCCTTCGGCGACCCTTGTCGCCGACTCTCCCGACACCCAGCTGCCCACTCTCTATGACCTATGACGCCGCCGCCCCCGTGGGCGGCCACCCGCTTGCGTTCGCCGCGGACTCCTGCGGCGGCACCAACGACCGCCTGGTAGTTTTCGACGGTTCGGCCAAAGACCTCGACAGCTACAACTACATTTACGACGCCGAGCAACAAACAACCTGATTGCTCCCCTCGAGGCTGCCGGCGCCTGGTCGCTTTCAGCGCGTGCCTGACTGGCTCGGCGCACGCGCGGCCTCAGGGTGGGAGGAACCGTTCGCCAGGGACCCACGCTCCTACTCCTCCTCCCCCTCCTCCTCCTCTTCCTCCTCTTCCTCCTGTTCCTCCCTTTATGCATGCAGCCCTCCTCTTCCAAGTGCGCATGACACGATGGGGTCCCTTTTGGAGTTCCAGCCTGGCCGTGAAAAGGCGTCCGCGGACAGAGACAAGGTCAGCGAGCGGGAAGGAACGGGAAGGAGGGACAGGATGTCAGATATGCTGCGGGCACACCTCGTTTGCCTCCTCCCTATCCGCCCTCTCCTCCCCCATTCCCTCCTCCCGACCTCGGCCCCCCGTCCCCCTTCTTCGGGGGCAGAAGAAGCGACGCCACCACTGCCAGGGGGCCCACCTCCAGCGAGGAGGTCCACGATGCCTCCCCAACCGCCCTACCACATGGACCCACCCCTAATTCCTCCCGCTGGCGATCCCTGGTGGTGGTGGTGCCACTCCTCCTTTTCCTCCCCCTCCTCCTCTTCTGTGGTCGCGCCTGCCCAGCTCGCTGAGCGTGGGATCGTGGCTGGATGTTCGATGGCGACCACGTTGATCAGAGTTTTCGGTTTGAAAGCGTTCGATTCGGTCCTGATCCCTGTCGGCACGCCGCTGGATGTTTATATGGACGACAGCTCGCCCTCTTGTGCAGGCACGGTGGACCACGTTGTGCACAGCCTGACCGTGGCCACCAGTGCCATGGAGTTTGCGGCCACGGACATGCTGCAGGCAAACATCTCCCTGGACAAGGTTGCTTTCGTGTCCTCGTCCCGCGTTGTTCAATCTCGGTTACAGGAAGTTTTTGGGGTCCTGATTGGGCCCAGGCGCGAAACCACGTCTCACCTCGGGATAGACTACACGGGAGGCCTGTCTAGGAGAGTTCGGGGACGGAATGCTACGACGAAGTCCCGTGTTTCGGCTGCTGCCCGCAGGGCCAGGCGCCTTGCGCGCCAACGTCCTTTTTTCTGCCGCCGAGCAGCTAAGGTTTTTATTGTTGCCCCCCTGGCGGGCATGAATTACGGGGTGGAGGTGCATGGGATGTCGGGCGGACAATTGGGGAAGGCCAGGAAGGTGTTTGCGTCTGTTATCAAGCCGTCGAGTGGCGAGCGGAGTTTGTCAATCCCCACGCGCTTGGAGAACGATCCCGCACGGCATGGGAGTGTGGCCCCGATTCGGCGGTACAGCTTGGAGCTCTGACATCTGCTGACGAAGGCCTCTTCTTGGGTGCTTTCTTGGGAGCATATTAGGTGCGCGTGGCAGTCCATCTGGTCCTCTCTTCCTAGATCGTGGCGCTCCGTTAAAGGACCCATGGGGGCTTTATATCTGTCTTTGGCTCGCATCAACTGGTCTATGCCAAACCCGTTCTCGATGATGGATGAAGATGGTCGGTCCATTTCCCTCCTCATCATCTCCCCCCTCTGTTTTAAACATGTCCTGGAAGCCTCGGTCTTGAAATGGCTGGAGGTTGAAGTAGGTTCCAAATACGGTTCGGGCAAGCGAATGTGTTTCGATGTGGTGTCCAGGGCGCTTGGTTCCAAACGTTCCTCTACGAGGCAGAAAAGAGCTCTTCGCGATGTAACCTGACGAGCGGTTTGGACGCGTTTTACGTGCGTCTCCAAGGGGTACATGATCGAGGATGCGTGCCCGCTATGCGGCCAGGTGGGGGACACGGTTATTCACCGCCTCTGGCATTGCAGTGTGTGCGAGGAGCAGAGATCTTCATTTATAGGTGCTGGTTTGCCCGAGCAGGTGCGTTCCCACTTGGCGGATCCGTCGCCTGGGTTTGAGTTCCTTTGCGAGACAGGCCTTTTCGAGCACCCGGCCTCTGACGTACCCAAGCCTCTGCCCCTGGACGACGCCATGGAAGCTATCCAGATTCAAGTTGTCCCTGAGGCTGTCGCCGAGGAAGGCCTCCCTCCGCCGACCCAAGGGATTCGAGAGCTCAAGGGAAGGCTGTACGGCGACGGTAGTTGCCAGGCATGTGATTAGAGACCTCTTCGGATCTGGCTGGGGAGTAGCGATGGTCAGTGAGTCGGGTAAGCTCCTGGCTATGTGCTTCGGCCCGCTGGGCAACTCGCTCCCCCAGACCAGAGTGGCTGCTGAATTTGCGGCCCCAGTTGCTGCTGCGTCGCTGCTGGCGGGCGCCGCTGCTTTTTACTTAGACTGCCAGGCGGTAGTCGATCACCATGCCAGACCTCCAGGGGACCGCACGCACCCTAGGAGACCATACAGCGGCCTTGTCCTGCAGGCCGACGCTTTTGCCGAGGGGCGTTTACTGTCAGCTCGTAAGGTGAAGGCTCACCAGCAAGAGGATCCTGGTTTGCCCCCTGAAGAGCTGGTCCAAGCTAAGGGGAACAATGCGGCCGACCTCGCGGCCGAGGCTGGTGCTGCTTTGCCCCCAGGTCCATCGGAGGCGGAATGGAGGGGCATCATGTTTGTCATTCTGCTGGCAGCAAACCTCATGGAGCTGTGGCCTCGGACGAACCTGGAGGGGGTGTGTCGTGTCGTGGAGCCCCCCCCCGTCGCGTGCTGTTGGGGATCCGGCCACCTCACGAGTGGGAGCTGATTGACTCCCCACCTCGCTCGTTTTGGCTGTGTTTTTCGTGCCTGCGAGTTGCCAGGTCGAGGTCTTTGCCCGAGCGCATCGAGCCTCGGGTTCTTCGTGGCCTGGGTCACAGGTGCATTGTGGTGGATTGCAGCGACCGCTCGTTTATTCCCCAAACAGCTTGCTGAACGGGGTGCTGTTGTGGTAGAAACTAACTCCGGCCGAGGGAAGTCGGAGCAGAGACATCCTCACAAAAAATTATGGTTTTGGCCGTTTCGCTTGAGACATCCTCACAGCTCTCGTTTCTGAGTTGGCCGGGATTGGCCGTTTCGCCTGAGACATCCTCGAACAGTTGCGCTCCGGGACGCCGCGCGAGAGGTGGTCCGGGCCGTTTCGCCTGAGACATCCTCGAAAAGTTGCGCTCCGGGACGCCGCGCGAGAGGTGGTCCGGGCCGTTTCGCCTGAGACATCCTCGAAACTCTGAGCCACGAGGTGCCGTGCGAGAGGTGGTCCGGGCCGTTTCGCCTGAGACATCCTCGAACTTTGAGCTCTGCGATGCCTTGCGCGAGGTGGTCCGGCCCATTTCGCCTGAGACATCCTCGAAAATCTGACTTCGGAGATGCCGCGCGAGAGGTGGTCCGGCCCGTTTCGCCTGAGACATCCTCGAACTTCTGAGCTCTGAGATGCCCTGCGCGAGGTGGTCCGGCCCGTCTCGCCTGAGACATCCTTGCAACTCTGAGCTCTGAGATGCCGTGCGCAAGGTGGTCCGGCTTGTTTCGCACAATACATTCTCACAACTCTGAGCTCTCAGATGCTGCGCGAGAGGTGGTCCAGCCTGGGCGCCAAGAAGACCACATGTGACATATCCTCCATGGGACCCTGCGAGCCTCAGGAGGCCCCAGAGGTCCAGGAGGCCGCAGGACGCCCAAGAGAGGCCCCAGGGGCCCCCAGGAGATTCCCAGGAGGCTCCCAGGAGGCCCCAGGAGGCCGCCTATCAGAACGTGTGAAGTCAATACACATCCGGTGTCGATTCGTTGATTCTTCCTGCTCTTGTGCCCCCCCTCCATTTTGAGGGGCCCAAGCGGCCACAGGTTAGGTATCCCCCCTTGGAGCCCCAAGAGCCTTCAGGAAACCTCAGGTGGAGTTCAGGAGGCCACAGGAGGCCCAGGAGGAAGCTCCAGGAGGTCCCCAGGAGGCCCCAGGAGGCACCAGGAGGCCGCAGGACGCCCAGGACAGGCCCCAGGGGTCCCAGGAGGCACCAGGAGGCCGCAGGATTCCCAGGAGGCTCCCAGGAGGCCCCAGGAGGCTGCCTATCAGAACTTGTCAAGTTAATACACATCCGGTGTCGATTCGTTGATTTTTCCTGCTCTTGTGCCCCCCCTCCATTTGGAGAGGCCCAAATGGCCACAGGTTAAATATCCCAGCTGGGAGCCCCAAGAGGCTTCAGGAAGCCCCAGGTGGGGTCCAGGAGGCCACAGGAGGCCCAGGAGGAAGCCCCAGGAGGTCACCAGGAGGTCCCAGGAGGCACCAGGAGGCCCGCGCAACTCGGAGCTCTGAGACGCCGCGCTCGAGGTGGTCTGGCCCGTTTCGCCTGAGACTTCCTCGCACCACGTTTCGCCAGAGACATCATCGCAACTCTGGGGTCCGAGATGCCGCGCGCGAGGTGGTCCAGCCCGTTACGCTGGACACATCCTCGCAACTCTAGGATCCGAGATGCCGTTCGGGATGACGAGGAGGTGGAGGAGGAGGAGGAGGAGGAGGAGGAGGAGGAGGAGGAGGAGATGGAAGGGAGAAGGAGGAGGCGGATGATGTGCATGAGGGAGCAGGCAGGAGGAGGGGGAGGCCCCAGAGAGCTCCAGGAGGCCACAGGACGCCCAGGACAGGCCCCAGGGGTCCCCAGGAGATTCCTAGGAGGCTCCCAGGAGGCCCCAGGAGGCCGCCTATCAGAACGTGTGAAGTCAATACACATCCGGTGTCGATTCGTTGATTCTTCCTGCTCTGGTGCCCCCCTCTCATTTGGAGAGGCCCAAACGGCCACAGGTTTGATATCCACCCTGGGAGCCCCAAGAGGCGTCAGGAAACCCCAGGTGGAGTTCAGGAGGCCACAGGAGGCCCAGGAGGAAGCCCCAGGAGGTCCCCAGGAGGTCCCAGGAGGCACCAGGAGGCCCCCGCAACTCGGAGCTCTGAGACGCCGCGCTCGAGGTGGTCCGGCCCGTTTCGCCTGAGACTTCCTCGAAGCACGTTTGCCCGAGAAATCGTCGCAACTCTGGGGTCCGAGATGCCGCGCGCGAGGTGGTCCAGCCCGTTACGCTGGAGACATCCTCGCAACTCTAGGCTCCGAGATGCCGTTCGGGATGAAGAGGAGGTCGAGGAGGAGGAGGAGGAGGAGGAGGAGAGGAGAAGGAGATGGAAGGGAGAAGGAGGAGGCGGATGATGTGCATGAGGGAGCAGGCAGGAGGAGGAGGAGGAGGAGGAGGAGGAGGGAGAAGGAAAGGAGTTGCAGGAGAGGACCTAACGGGAAGCGAGTGCGATGTGGACTTGTCAAAACGTGTGCGAAAGATTGTCCGGCCCGTTTCGTTTGAGACATCCTTCCAATACTGAGCTCCAAGATGTCGCTCGCGAGGTGGTCCGGCCCGTTTCGATTGAGCCATCCTCGCAATGCGAGGCTCGAAGATGTTGCGCGCGAGATGGTCTGGCCCATTCTGCCTGAGACGTTTCGTAGCACAGGAGCTCCAATCACAACCTCTCTCATTCCTTCTCCCGCCTCCCTCTTCCCACTTCCCGCCTGGTTCCTCTTCCCTCCTCCCTCCTCCCGCCTCCCGCCTCCCGCTGCTGCGCCTCTGCCTCCGCCTCCCCGCCCCCGCCGTCGTCGTTTCTGCCGCCTCAGCATCCGTCATGCGCGCACTGCCTTCCGCCCTCCCCAGACATCCGACGTCACGATTTTTATTTTGAGACGTGCGCCGTGTACCTCTCGATCTCATCCCCGAGGGAATCATCACGACATGCCCCCTCGCTTCCGCGCCCTCCCCCGCTTCCTCTTAAAGTTGCTTCTGAGTTCCTCTTAAAGTTTGCTTCTTAAAGTTGCCCGCGACCCGACAGCTTACTCGTCGACCAGGTGCGACCTGGGACATCCTCGCAACTCTGGGCTCCGAGACAGGGTTCCCCAAACAGGATTTCTATATACCTTTTAGCGACGTCTCAAAAC